TCGTTCACACCTTTTAATAATTTGATCACCCAAAGTCACACTTCTGTCACTAGAGCTATTACTACTAAAATTACATTCCATGTATTCAGTTTTAGTTCTACTTAAACGAAGGCCTTTAGACTCCAATGTAGACCTCCATAATTCAAGTTTTTCCTGGGCTTTTTCTCTCGTTTTATCCACGAGAAGAATATCATCAGCAAAAAGCATACACCAAGGTACATCCTCTTGTAGATGTCCAGTAAGACCATCCATAACTAAAGCAAAAAGATATGGGCTTAAAGTCGATCCCTGATGTAAACCAACAGAAATAGGAAAATATTTTGTCAATCCTCCTTCAGTTTGAACACAAGTAACAGCTCTAGTATACATATCTTTAATGACTTGAATATAAGTCAAATCAACACATTTCTTCTCGAGAACTTTCCAAAGGATATCAAATCACATACGACCATAACATTTTGTGTTGGGGAGCCGCATCGGCAGATGTACGCAACTCTTTCTTCACTAGATAATCATGCATCGACGTGTGTTCCATCAATAGCTCCAATGCAATCTTGGAGTTACAACTATAACTTTTTAAAAACTGTAATGTAATAAAAGTAGAAAGATAAATGTAATGGTAAAAAACAGACCTTAAAAAATGACATGTATCGAGGGTCATTTGCAATTTGTGAAGGAATTGAATGGAACGTTGGATCCTCGGGCTTCACTACCTTCTGGGCCAAACTAACAAGAGAGTTCAAACCGACTGAGAAATATCGGCTGATGGTTTCAGATGAATGTTGGAAACGCTCCATAACCCCTCTTATTGATTAATTTTGAGATAAGATATATAGAGATTTTGAGATAAGATAGAGATAAGATGTATAGCGTTATTGCAAGCACTTCTTTTGGGGTTGTTCATGCAGAGCCGTGTAACCCATGATGGATCCGGAGTTAATTTAGCAGATCATGAAATATTTCTTGTGTCATACGAAACATATTAAAGAACTGTGTTGGATGGCCCCGTAATAACTCACCAACTCATCTGTCTCCTACTTGAGTTGAAGTCATACATGAGTTTCGGTCAACGTGTTTGAGATAGTAATAATACAATACGGTAAGAGTAAATGCGACTGTGCGTATGTGGTGGATTTCTTCTTCATCCATACTACAAAATTATTAAAAGGAAAATGAATTAACTTTAGTAATAAGAACAAAAGTATGCTATGAAAGATAAATAGAACACATGAAATTTGGGCAAAATAAAAATAATATATAATAAAATTGGCCACACAGAAACAACAACCACATAGAAAGGTGAACTGTCTAAAACATCCACGAAGAAGATAAAAAAAAAGTGTGCATCACGTAAACATAACATTGAACTTATTATGTACAATAAAAATTAAAGTACATAATAAGTCAAATAT